GCTTGTTTAATTTGAATTGGTTTAAACCAAGATCCCAAGGTTTTTCCCCCCCGCAAATTGGGTTAAATTTTTTCTCAGGTGAAATTTTATATTAAAAAAAGCCCCCCTTTCCTTTCTTTTTTTTTCCCTTTTTTTTTTGGAAGAAAATATTTCCCCTTGGTTCCCTTTTTTTTTTTTTTTTTTTTTTGCAAGGCCAAGGGGGGCAATGGGGGGGGGGGGGCCGGGGGGAGGGCCCTCCCTGCCGGGGGGGCCCCCCTCCCGTGGGCCGTTGCGGCTTTTCCGGCTGCGGGCCAGCGCACCGCGCTGGATCCCGATTGCAGGAGCCAGGTGCTTTCTCCTGGTCCTTCCATGGGGGTGCAGGGCCCAAGCACTTGGGCCATCCTCCACTGCACTCCCTGGCCACAGCAGAGAGCTGGCCTGGAAGAGGGGCAACTGGGACAGAATCCAGCACCCTGACCGGGACTAGAACCCGGTGCGCCGGCGCCGCAAGGCGGAGGATTAGCCTAGTGAGCCGCGGCGCCAGCTGCCATTTGTTTTCAAGCATTTTGAACAGGTGTCCTATTAAATTTGCAGTGATAAAAAAGCATTTGGGAAATTTCACTGGGTAGTTTTGGAAATATTGGGTGTTTATGATAGAAGGCCTGGGGAGATTACACTAAGCATTGTTAGATGAATTTTAAGGAGGCATTGTCATTTCAGGTGAAAAAGTTTATGCAGCCGTATTTCAAGAGAAGGTGCCCTATATGCATATGGTTAGAACTCTGTGCAAAGGGAAGATCAAACACAGTGAAGGGGACCAGCTGGGTTCAAAAGAGAACAATTCCAGGGAAGGTCAGCTTCTGGGTTGGTAGTTACCATGTGGACAGAATTACCCAACCTGGGGTGGGGAAGGAGACTTGATGTATTTGAACAACAAAAACATTTAGCTGACCCAGAACTCACTGATTTTGTATGGAGGACTCCAGAATGAGTGCATGGCCTTAAAGGAAAAAGAGGACAGGAACTCTGATCTAGCAATCAGTGCTTCCCAGGAGGGAAAAAACATAAATGCCAGGCTTTGAGGATCCTGCAGAATTCATGGAAGAGCAGAAGGAAATGACATGTTAGGGATGTGCCCCAGTGCTGCAGGAAAACATGGCATCGAGGGAAGATTTTTATAGCCAGTGATCTGCGGACAAGCTGTTCAAGGCTTGGGGAGTTCAAAAGCCAAGGAAAGGCAAGGTTTGGGGGGCAAGTATTTGAAAAAGAGTGCAATGAGCTTCACTTAGAAATAACCACAGCGCTCAGTGGGTTAATGCCCTGGGCTGAAGCGCCAGCATCCCATATGGACACCGGTTCAAGACCTGGCTGCTCCAATTCCCGTCCAGTTCTCTGCTATAGCCTGGGAAAGCAGTAGAAGATGGCCCAAGTCCTTGCACCTGCAGGGGAGACCAGGAAGAAGCTCCTGGCTCCTGACTTCAGATAGGTGCAGCTCTGGCCGTTGCGGCCATCTGGGGAGTGAACCAGTGGATGGAAGACCTCTCTCTCTCTCTACCTGTCCTCTCTCTGCGTAACTCTGACTTTCAAATAAATAAATTAAAAAAAAAAGAAACAGCCACAGTGGCTTCAGTTGGGGCTTTAATGAGGGCAATACTCCAACGGAGTCTATGTAGAGTGATGAGACGGATTTTCATCTGTAAGACAGACTTCTCAGATGAAGGAAGTCCAGGACTAAAGCTACTGTAGCACAGGGCTGAGCCCTCTTGGGTTTCTATTGAGGTGGAGAAATAGAGAAGGAAAAGGGAGAGAGGTACAGAGAATGTAGGTCACAAATGTGCTTAAGGAGAGAATGGAAGCTAGATCACTAGCAGCATTCAAGTCCAGGGAGTAACCGGGCCCTCCAAATGCAATAATCTAAAGAAAAGTAAAAACAGTACTTTTAAATTTTTTTGTGGAAATTTTCAACTTTTACTCAGTGAAGTATACAATATGTTCCTATCACACTGCTCCAAGCATAAGATTGTCACCACTCTATTATCTCACATGGTGGTAGAGTATGTTAAAGGCCCAGCTGTCATATCATTTTACCAATAAACAATGGAGGCATTTTTAGCATACAGGATGAAGGCAGAAGGATCATACAAAAGCCTTGGATAAGGCTAGAGGACTAGCAGTGTCACCCTGCCATTGTAATGTTTCAGAACAGAGTGATGCAAATGCCATTCTCTAATGGCAACACAGTACAGACAAGTGATTTCTCCATTGGCCCAGGAAGTTCAATGCTATGATGAATGGGCAATTTCTCCTTTGTGGGTTTAAATTCTCTAATAATGGCCTCCGGGCCACTCACACAGTTGATATCTATGTTGGCCATCCTGAAACTAAAAATGTTTTATCTGTAGCTTTGCACTTCCTTCAAATATTTGCCCTTCCTTAGACGGTAAAATTCTCTACAGTGTTCCTTGCAAGACAACAAAAATGTGGATCTCAGTTGTACTGCTGACAAAACCAGAGGCACATTATTTGCTGTATGGCACAGGATTTGTTTGCTTGTGTTTCTGTTCTTTGGCAGAGTAGAATGTGTGAATCATTTCTGGTGGGGTTAGTTCGACTTTGTGGATGCTGAAGAAGTAACAATAATTGTACTGCTTCAAGATGGTCCAAAACTTTGCAGCTGCTGAAGAAAATCTGGCCCCATTAGAGTGAGATCAATCCAACAAAATGAGAAATCTGAGACAGAAGAAATTCAACTGTAGTTGACAGGAGAAAGAAGAATTCAATTTGAAACTTTCTCACACCGCCGGCATGGCTCAATAGGCTAATCCTCCGCCTGCAGCGTCGGCACCCCGGGTTCTAGTTGCCCCTCTTCCAGGCCAGCTCTCTGCTGTGACCCGGGAGTTCAGTGGAGGATGGCCCAAGTGCTTGGGCCCTGCACCCCATGGGAGACCAGGAGAAGCACCTGGCTCCTGGCTTCAGATCAGCGCAGCACGCCAGCCGCAACACACCTCCCGGCCACTTGAGGGGTGAACCAACAGAAAAGGAAGACCTTTCTCTCTGTCTCTCTCTCTTGCTGTCTACTCTGCCTGTCAAAAAAACCAAAACTTTCTCACAATCTAATAATCAAATAATTAATGTTTACATTTGGAGTATTGAATACTGCTTTTATCGTGTCTTTTTTTTTTTTTTTTTTACTAATTTTGTACTGGCATAAAAATGATTTTTTTTTTTTTGCAGAGCTAATTGCACAATAGCTCAATGTAACTTGTGATCAACACAATCTAAGAAAAAAAAATGGAATATGAATAAATGTTCGGGGCTGACACTGTGGAGCAACCAGTTAACGCCCTGGCCTGAAGCACTAGCATCCCATATGGGTGCCAGTTCTAGTCCCGGCTGCTCCTCTTCCCATCCACCTCTCTGCTGTGACCTGGGAAAGCAGTAGGAGATTACCCACGTCCTTGGGCCCCTGCACCCATGTGGGAGACCCGGAAGAAGCTCTTGGCTCCTGGCTTCGGATCAGCTTAACTCTGGCTATTGCGGCCATCTGGGGAGTGAACCAGCAGGTGGAAGACCTTTCTCTCTCTGTCTCTACCTCTCTCTGTAACTCTGTCTTTCAAATAAATAAAATATATCTTTTAAAAATAAAAAAGGAGTGAATGTTCATCCTTTTGTGGGGATGGAGTTAATATAAATTAAAAGAGTTCCAGTCCTGATCACAACGACCATCAGCCAGTGCAGGGTAATCCTCAGGAACCCGAGCGAGCCTGCTCAGGTACAGGGCTGATTTCCTCCGGAGTGTGCTGGCGCTGGCCTTCTGTCTATTGTCAGATTATTTCAGCAGATGTGATTACAGAATCTTCAATGGGTAGATAAGTTTCCTTCAGTCCTATAACAGTTAAGCCTCCCCTGGTTCAAGGAAGGAATATCTGGGGAAAGTTAACAGGTGACTCTTCTGCTCCTATTCCCATATTTCACAGTGTCACTCAAGAAGAAACTGCTGGGACTGGCACTGTGGTGAAGCAGGTTAATGCCCTGGCCTGAAGCACCGACATCCCATATGGGTGCTGGTTTGAGACCCCACTGCTCCACTTCTGATCCAGCTCTCTGCTATGGCCTGGGAAAGCAGTAGGAGATGGCTCAAGTCCTTGGGCCCCTGTACCTATGTGGGTGACCTGGAAGAAGCTCCTGGCTCCTGGCTTTGGATTGGTGTAGCTCTGGCCATTGTAGCCAATTGGGTAGTGAACTAGTGAATGGAAGACCTCTCTCTCTCTCTCTGCTTCTCCTCTCTCTTTGTAACTCTGACTTTCAAATAAATAAATGTAAATCTTTTAAAAAAGAAACTTCTATCTATACATTTTTTAAAAATATGCTTATTACAATACATTGTCTTTGCCATCACCACGGCTCACTAGGCTAATCCTCTGCCAGTGGCGCCGGCACACCAGGTTCTGTCCCGGTTGGGGCACCAGATTCTGTCCCGGTTGCTCCTCTTCCAGTCCAGCTCTCTGCTGTGGCCTGGGAAGGCAGTGGAGGATGGCCCAAGTGCTTGGGCCCTGCACCCCATGGGAGACCAGGAGGAAGCACCTGGCTCCTGGCTTCGGATCAGCGCAGCATGCCGGCCGTGGCAACCATTTGTGGGGTGAACCAATGGAAGGAAGACCTTTCTCTCTGTCTCTCTCTCTCTTTCACTGTCTAACTCAGCCTGTCAAAAAAATACACTGTCTTTGTTAAAAAATATTTATTTATTTATTTATTTATTTATTTATTGAGAGGCAGAGTTACAGAGAGAGGGAGAGACAGAGAGCTCTTCCATCCTCTGAAGCCAGGGGTCAGGAGCTTCTTCTGGGTCTCCCACCCATGTGCAGGAGTCCAAGCACTTGGACCTTCTTCTGCTTTTCCAGGCCATAGCAGAGAGCGGAGAGCTGGGTTGGAAGAGAATCCACCAGGACACAAACCAGCACCCGTATGAGATGCTACTACACCACAGCATGGGCCCCTATTTATACTTCTGATCTCTTTAGGAGTGACCTGAAGGAGCATCTGCCCTTTCTGGATCCTTTGGGAAAGCAATGGCCAACAGATGATCCAGGCATCACAGTGCTTGAGCCACACCTTACTAGAGGTGAGTTTTCTGGGTTTAGGACAAAGAAAGTTGAACATTTACTCTCTTTCTTTGACCTTCAGTCAAAGAGAGCCCAGAATGTTGAGGAGCAAGTGAGGCCCTAACTTACTTCCTTTCCTTTCCTTTCCTTTCCTTTCCTTTCCTTTCCTTTCCTTTCCTTTCCTTTCTTTTCCTTTCCTTTCCTTTCCTTTCTTTTCTTTCCTCCCTGCCTCCCTCCCTCCCACCCTCCTTTCTTTCCTTCCTTCTTTTTCTTTCTCTTTCCTGCTTCTATCTCTGCAGCAGGCTTCATATCTTTTTTTAATTGTATTTAATGAATACATTTTTTCATATATATGACTTTAGGAATATAGTGGTTCTTTCCCACATACCCCCCCAACTCCCATCCCACCTGCCTCTCCCTCTCCCATCTCCTTCTTCATTATGGTTCAATTTTAGTGTGATTTTATATACAGAGGACCAACATTGTGTTTAACATAGATTTCAACAGTTTGCACCCGTGCACACACAGAACATATAGAGCATAATTTGGGAAGAAAATTTGCAGTCAATTTTCATAGTACAATTCATTAGGGACGGAGGTCCTACGTGGAGAGCAAGTACACAGTGACTTCTGTTGTTCCTTTAACAATTAACACTCTTATTAACAATCAACAGCTCTTTCCATGGGCTGCCAACGCTATGGAAGCCTTCTGTGACCATAGACTCCATCGGCATTTGGACACGGCCATAAGCAAAGTGGATGTTCTCTCCTCCCTTCAGAGAAGAGTACGTCCTTCTTTGATGGCCCATTCTTTCCACTGAGGTCTCACAGAGATCCTCCGTGTAGATATTTTTTGCCATAGAGTCTTGGCTTTCCATGCCTGAAATGCTCTTGCTGGCCTTTCAGCCAGACCAGTACAGGCTGAGTACAATGGTGTAGATTCTGTTTCTGCAGACCAGGTTTTATCCCAGTAAGTGTGTGTCTGTGTATGGTACGCAGCCTCCTTGTAGATCTGAGATGAAATCTGGAAGCCCCTGGTCAGCCATTCTCAAACAAGGCTCACCAAAAGCATGGGTTTGGGGGTGCACTTAGCTGGTGTTCAGTCACTAGTTCTGTATGTGTTCTCCTTTGGATAAGATGGTAGAAGGAAAGAGGCATGAGGTTTAGGTTGCTCATGAAGATAAATCCAGGTTTAAGAGTAGATTTTGGTTGAATCCAGTACTGTTCGAGTCTTAAGTAGTTGGCAATCAACCCATTGTACTTTTTCCAAGCTTGTCAGTTCTCAAGATTATAGTGTCTCAATAGAACAATGATTGAGTAAATTCAAAATATAATTAAGAAAACATTTTTGTTTTTAAAAATGACTATTTATGTATTAGCCATTTTTTCAGTACTCTAATGACATAGTTGAAGCAGGCTAACCTTAGCAAGAAAAGAAGTTTATTTGGCTCAAGGTTCTGCAAGTTTGAAATTCAAGCTCCAATGAATCAGCATCTGGTGATAATTTTTCCTGGTAGAGTCACAAGGCAGCACCCTACAGTGTCACCAGTGTCTGTCTGTGTTTACGTGGTCTCTTAGGAAGCCACCAGGATGTAACCACAGGGCTCCCTAACCCCCACCTCACGATGGCATCTACTTCCCACAGGGCCACCTCTAAACACTGTTGTTTAGATTAATATTCCACCCTCTTAATACTATCAATGTTAAGACTTTGGGATTAAACTCCTGCACGATTTTGGGGGTCAAGTGATAGTCAAACCACAGCAAGTTCACTTTTTTTTTAAAAGATTTATTTTATTTATTTGAAAGACAGAGTTAGATAGAGAGGTAGAGCCAGGGAGAGAGAGAGAGAGAGGTCTTCCATTCGTTGGTTTACTCCCCAAATGGCCTCAATGGCCAGAGCTAAGCTGATCCGAAGCCAGGAGCTTATTCCAAGTCTCCCACGTGGGTACAGGGGCCCAAGGACTTGGGCCATCTTCTGCTGCTTTCCTAGGACATAGCAGAGAGCTGGATTGGAAGTGGAGCAGCCGGGACTCGAATCAGCACCCATATGGGATGCCGGTGCTGCATGCCAGGGCTTTAACCCACTGCGCCATGGTGCCGACCCCAGCAAGTTAACTTTTAAAAAGAGTGTGTTCTTTATAGTACTTCGTTTTAAAGCCCAAATTTACTAAGAAAACAGTATTTGAATGACCTTTTGGGAAATATCCAAAAGGTAGATAAAATTTATAATTATCCTTCTTTCTAGTGATTTTCTGGCAGTGAGGGCACCTGGTGGAGCCTTTCCAACAACTGCTGAGCGTGAGGTCCTCTGACGCCGCTCTACTGAGATGCGTGGGTCCTGATTCTACTCTGAGAAACAAGCCTTTCCCACCCCAGAGCTTAGAAACTGCAGGGGGCTGTTAGATACATCAATCTTCTGATTGAACAATGTAATGTCTGCATAGCTACACTTAGTCTAGGCGACAGATACACTCCTGGATTAATAGATGATGTAACAGAAATACTGCCATTGTAAACTCTGTCTTACTATGTGAAGTCCCCCCACCCTCCCCGGTAACACAGGGCAATTTTATAGAATTAAAATCACATGGGGCTGGCACTTCGGTGTAGCGAGTTAATTCACTGCCTGCAGCGCCAGCATCCCATGTGGGCCCAGAACTTAAGACTTGTGATTTCCTTTTGATGGATTGTAGGATGAACTCTAACACTGATGCATTGTGATAAGCATGTCATACTAACAGTATGAAACATTGGCTAGAAAGCTTTGGTAGTCTTAGCATAGGGTAGTCACAAAGGTAAAATATAACCTTGAGAATGGCATCACAGACAGGACTCCTATTAGAGAGAATAGTACTAAATATGTTATGAAGGTCATCTAATGAAAACAACACTAATACTTTTGTACTAATGCCTTTGAATTAAATTGCAGGTAATGGGAGAGAGAAGAAGCACTAAGTGCATTTTGGAAATTAGGGCCTTGGTTTCTGATTACAGCCCAAGTCCCAGCTACTCCACTTCTGATCCAGCTCCCTACTAATAAACCTGGGAAAGCAGCGGAAGATGGTCCACGTACTTGGGCTCCTGTCATCCATGTGGGAGACCCAGAAGAAACTACTGGCTCCTGGCTTCTGTCTGGTCCAGACCTGGCTGTTGCAGCCATTTGAGGAGTGAACCAGGGGAAGGAAGATTCTCTCTCTGCCTCTCCCTCTGTGTAACTTCACCTTTCAAATAAATAAATCTTAAAAAATAAAATAAAATCACATTGCCTGTGACATCTTGTGTTACCTGCCAGACTGATTGAAATGAATAGATAGCCACCTGCTGTTGATTTAAAATTCATTTAGAAGATATAAGTGTGGGGAAGGGCAGGGTGTAGTGTATGTATGTTTATATGTGCATGTACTCAAGTTAAACAAGCCTTAAAGTGTCACAGAGTAGTTTTATTAGAAAGATTACATTTTTAAATATGATATGGCCATCAGAAAATGACATTTCAAGGCAAATTGAAATTTTTTATAATATTTATTTATGGGGCTGGCTCTGTGGCGTAGCGAGTAAAGCTACTGCCTGCAGTGCCAGCATCCCATATGGGCACTGGTTCGAGTCTTGGCTGCTCCACTTCTGATCTAGCTCTCTGCTATGGCGTGGGAAAGCAATAGAAGATGGCCCAAATCCTTGGGCCCCAGCAGCCATGTGGCAGAACTGGAAGAAGCTCCTGGCCCCTGGCTTCGGATTGGTGCCACTCTGGCCTTTGCGGCCAGTTGGGGAATGAACCAGCAGATGGAAGACTTCTCTCTCTCTCTGCCTCTCCTACTCTCTCTGTGTAACTCTGACTTTCAAGTAAAGAAATAAATCTTTAAAAATATTTTTATTTATTTATTTTGAAAGTCAGAGTTACAGAGAGAGAAAGAGATACAGAGAAAGAGAGAGATCTTCCATCCACTGGTTCCTTCCCGCAGATGGCTGCAACAACTAAGACTGGGTCAGGCCAAAGACAGGAACCAAGAGCTTCATTCTAGTCTCTCATGTGGGTGGCAGGGTCCCAAACACTTGGACTACCTTCTGCTGTTTTTCCCAGATTCATTAGTAGGGGAGCTGGATCGGAAGTGCAGCAGCCAGGACACAAACCGGTGCCCATATAGGATGCTGGCATCACTAGTAGTGGCTTAACCTGGTATGCCAAAATGCCAGCCCCTGAATTTTCTTACATCTGTGATGTGGAGTTTTGATGACTCTACAGGCCAAAAGACATGATTTACCTTTTTATCTAAGAGAAGCTTATTGTCTGTCCATAGAATTTCTATCTAATTTAGTTCCCTTTGATGTAAATAAAATTCATCTTACCTGCTAATGAAGGAATATTTTGAGCATACCTGTAAATTAAGTTATTGGAGTTTAACATGTGCAGCCCCTATAGAGGTGTATATGAAATGAGAACGATTAGGTTGCATTGAATACTAAATTTCATTTCTGAAAAATAGAATTTCTTCATTTTGAACAGCCTTCCTCACTGCTGACTCCTGGGATTGTCTCCTAAATAAATCATCTGCCGTTAGTCCTGTCTCAGGACCTGCCTTTGAAGGAACCCACGTGGAGGCATCTTCCAAGAAAGGCTGCTCCAAAGCCGGATTTTCAGGTGATTTAGGAGAGACCAAGAGGTAAATCTGTCAAAATCGGCTTGGAATTTACATTCCTCATTTCAGAAACTATTTCCAAGCTTGTTCAGTTTCCCCTTGTCTAGAACTCTGTCTTCTCTCTTCTCGTGTCTCATTTGGTCTTTATAAAAAAATGGAGTGATTGGGAAGGGATTAGAGGCATGGATTTAACACAGAGAAGTGATAGGAAAAAACCTCTTTTAGTTAATGAGGTTGGAGTTATTAGTTTGTAAGACGTGGAGTAGAAATCACATCCTGAGAAGAATATGAATTTATCACATGGACACAATGGAAGATCAAAGAAATGAATTTTCTCAAGACTTTGATTTCAAGAATCTGGGACTAAAATGAGTTAGTCTGACTGGTGTATCTTTCCTCCCTGTCCTTGACTCTTTTTTTTTTTTAATTAATTAATTTATTTGAAAGGCAGAGTGAGAGAGACAGAGGCAGAGGCAGAGAAAGAGAGAAGTCTTCCACTCGCTGGTTCATTCCCCTTAAATGGCCGCAACGGCCAGACCTGGGCTAATCTGAAGTCAGGAGCTTCTTCCAGGTTTCCCACGTGGGTGCAGGGGCCCAAGCACTTGAGCCATCCTCCACTGCTTTCCCAGGCCATTAGCAGGGAGCTGGGCTGGAAGTAGAGTAGCTGGGACCCGAGCTAGCACCCACGTGGGATGCCGGCACTGCAGGCGAAGGCTTAACTTACTATGCCACAGCACCGGCTGAAGATTTCTTGGTTATCCTTAAATTTCTCTCTCTCTCTCTCTCTCTCTCTCTTTTCTATTTTTTTTTTCTTTATTTGAAAGGCAGAGTTTACAGAGAGAGAAAATCTTCCATCTGCTGGTTCACTCCCCAAATGGCTGCAACAGCCAGAGGAGCTGGATCTGTCCAAAGCCAAGAGCCAGGAGATTCATCAGGGTCTCCCACATGGGTGCAGGGGTGTGGGGAGCAACTGGGAGCAACTCAGACTAGACTGTTACTCGAATTAAGACTTATTCTATGCATCTGCTCTCCCACAATATGGCTCTGGGAGAGGAGGAAACAGCTTCTACACAGCTGCCTCCAGTTCAACCAATAAACAGCAGGACCTGCTCCTGATTGGAGGAGAGCAGCGTACTCGGCGTGTGGGTAGCAGAGTTGGGATTGGCGGAAGAGGACTATAAAGGAGGAGAGAGACAACATGCACCAGGAACATCTAAGAGGAACACCTGTGCAGCCCCCGAGAGAGCCGGCCGGCGGTGTGCCGCTCCCCCACGGAAGTGGGGAAAGTGGCAGGGGGAACTGCCCTTCCACGGAGGAGGAAGGGTCGGTAGCCAACCCGGGAAGAACCAGCAGCAAACCCGGGAAGGGCCAAGCAGGCAAAAGAACAACGCAGGGTTTAGTGTCATTCCTCCACGAAGAGGGGGAGCGACACAGGGGCCCAAGGACTTGAGCCATCTTCTGCTGCTTTCCCGGGCCATAGCAGAGAGCTGGATCAGAAGAGGAGCAGCCAGGACTAGAACCGGCGCCTATATGGGATGCGGGCACTGCAGAGGGTGGCTTTACCTGCTACGCCACAGAGCAGGCCCCCTGTCCTTGACTCTTGAGCTCCCATTTCTCTCCCTTGCTGAAGGCTCCACACTGGCTTGGGGGACAGTTTCCCTTGCCTCATGGGGTGCCAGTGAGTGGAACATTTCTCGTAACTGACCCTTCAAAATGCACCAGACAAAAAGACCAACAGACTGAGATTATTCCTCCTATTGGAGACACCCTGTTCAAAAGGAAAAGGGTGATGTGCTGTGCCCAGAAGGTGAGAGACAAAGAGGGGATTGCAAGACACAGAATGAGAAAGGGCAGAGATCAGAAACAAGGAGGGCTGCCCTCTGGGGTCCTCCTCATTCCTGAGGCTCTGGCTCTAAGGTCATCGTGCCTTTGATGGCAAAGGGATGCCATGGCTAGGTCACAGCAAGACTTGCCTCATCTTGGCAGGGTGGGCTCTGCGGAGCAGGAAGGGGATCTCACTCTCTCCATACCCTAGGAAAGCTTTCCTCCTCTATCCCCTGGCCCTACAACCTCCTCCAACCTCACAGGGGTGGGGAAATATCCAGCTTGTGGGCCATAGAAGGCCTGGAAAATCATTTGGTCTGGCCCTACCAAGGCACCCACCAATGGGATCTGAAATTCAATAAATCCGGAGCCAGCACTGGCTTGGTGGGTTGAGCTACCACCTGCAGCACTGGCATCCCATATCAGCATCAGTTCAATTCCCAGCTGCTCCACTTCCGATACAACTCCCTGCTATGGCCTGGGAAAGCAGTGGAAGATGGCCCAAGTCATGTGGGAGACCCTGATGAATCTCCTGGCTCTTGGCTTTGGACAGACCCAGCTCCTCTGACTGTTGCAGCCATTTGGGGAATGAACCAGCAGATGGAAGATTTTCTCTCTCTGTAAACTCTGCCTTTCAAATAAAGAACAAAAAATTAAAAAAAAATAGAGATTTAAGGATAACCAAGAAATCTTCAGCCGGTGCTCTGGCATAGTAAGTTAAGCCTTCGCCTGCAGTGCCAGCATCCCACGTGGGTGCCAGCTCAGGTCCTAGCTGCTCTACTTCCAGTCCAACTCCCTGCTAATGGCCTGGGAAAGCAGTGGAGGATGGCTCAAGTGCTTGGACCCCTGCATCAACGTGGGAGACCTGGATGGAATTCCTGGCTCCTGGCTTCGGATCGGCCCAGGTCTGGCCGTTGAGGCCATTTAGAGAGTAAACCAATGGATGGAGGACCTCTCTATCTGTCTTTCCCTCTCTCTGTAACACTGCCTCTCAAATAAAATAAATAAATCTTAAAAAGAAATTATTTTGTGGGCACTTGTTCCTAAGGTTTGGATTCCATCCTAATTTCATGGGAAAACTTGCCACTAAAGGTAACAAAACAGTGCCTTAATTTTTTTTTCTTTTTTTTTTTAAACTTTTATTTAATGTATATAATTTTCCAAAGTACGACTTATGGATTACAATGGCTTCCCCCCCATACCGTCCCTCCCACCCACAACCCTCCCCTTTCCCACTCCCTCTCCCCTTCCATTCACATCAATATTCATTTTCGATTATCTTAATATACAGAAGATCAGCTTAGTATACATTAAGTATGGATTTCAACAGTTTGCTCCCACACAGAAACATAAAGTGAAAAATAATAGATGATTTTTTTAAAATGATGATGAAATCAGAGCAGACCTATTGTCATGTTTAATCCCAGTGAGAGTCAAGTTGGGAATTGATAATTTCTTTTTTTTTTTTTTTACAGAGGATCAGTTTAGTATGCATTAAGTAAAGATTTCAACAGTTTGCACCCACATAGAAACACAAAGTGAAATATATTGTTTGAGTACTCGTTATAGCATTAAATCTCAATGCACAGCACATTAAGGATAGAGATCCTACATGAGGAGTAAGTGCACAGTGACTCCTGTTGTTGACTTTACCAATTGACACTCCTGTGTATGGCATCAGTAATCTCCCTATGCTCCAGTCATGAGTTTCCAAGGCTATGGAAGCCCTCTGAGTTCTCCGACTCTTATCTTGTTTAGACAAGGTCATAGTCAAAGTGGAGGTTCTCTCCTCCCTTCAGAGAAAGGTACCTCCTTCTTTGATGACCTGTTCTTTCCACTGGGATCTCACTCGCAGAGATCTTTTGCCAGAGTGTCTTGGCTTTCCATGCCTGAAATACTCTCATGAGCTCTTCAGCCAGCTCCGAATGCCTTTAGGGCTGATTCTGAGGCCAGAGTGCTATTTAGGACATCTGCCATTCTATGAGTCTGCTGAGTATCTCACTTCCCATGTTGGATCACTCTCCCCTTTATTTACTCCATCAGTTAGCGTTAGCAGGTACTAGACTTGTCTATGTGCTCCCTTTGACTCCCAGTCCCTTCACCATGACCAACTGTGAACTGAAACTGATCACCTGGAACAGTGAGATGGCATTGGTACATGCCACCTCGATGGGATTGAATTGGAATCCCCTGGTATGCTTCCAACTCCACCACTTGGGGCAAGTCAGCCTGAGCATGTCCCAAATTATACATCTCTTCCCTCTCCCATTCCCACCACCATGTTCAACAGGGATCACATTTCAGTTAATTTTCACCACTTAAGAATAACTGTGCATCCATTACAGATCTAAACCAGTCATATTAAGTAGAACAGATAAAAAAACTACTAAGAGGGATAATGTATTAAGTTGTTCATTAACAGTCAGGGCTATGCTGATCAAATTATTTTTCAACTTTTCTATTTTCTTAAAATATTTATTTATTTATTTGAAAGGCAGACTTATACAGAGAGCAGAAGAGACAGAGAGAGAGAGAGAGAGAGAGAGAGAGAGATCTTCTACCCACTGGTTCACTCCCCAAATGCTTGCAATGGCCAGGGCTGAGCCAGTCAGAAGCCAGGAGCCTCTGTCGGGTCTCTCACATGGGTGCAGGGATCCAAGGACTTGGGCTATCCTCCACTGCATTCCCACGTGCATTAGCAGAGAAATTCTTTAATATGCTTCCTGGTCCATAGTAGATGTCCTGTTGTGTCTTTCTAGTTCATATCCTTTTACTGGTCCAACAGGGTAAAAAATGAAATTCTGAGAAGAAAATACATTAAGATTCGACAATGGATTCGCAAATATATTCTGTTCCTGGAAGAAACCATAGGCCCCGCGTTCAGACAAATGCAGGAGCCGCACAGGGACTACGAGTGCGTGATGCTGTTGATGTGTGTAACTAGGCTGTTAGTTAAAGTTTAGGCCAGAGGAAACCCTGTATCCCTGCACAGTGATGCTGTCTCTTTAACTCGGTCTGATACGCCCACCTCCCCAGGATGCACCCGTCACATCTGGGACCAGGGTGGGAGCTCAGGCCTCGCTCTGGTTGTCTATCTGTGGGCATTTTCTTTTCCACCCCAGAATGCACTTGGACAAAGAACGCTTGTTCTCTCTTTCCACCGTGGACCCGAGTCAGACAGACCTCTCCCACGTCGGGCGGACCTTCTCTGTGCTTGCTTAGAGGTAGTTTTTTTTTTCTTTTCTTTTTTTTTTTTTTTCTCTCTCTCATTTGCAGCAGTCCTTTGGCCCACTCATGATGGGTATTTCCCCATGGAGGGCGGGGCACATTCGCATGTGAATGCGTGTTAATTCCATCACTGTTAAATACATTCTTTTCCTATTTGAACTCAATACTAGTCTCTCTGTTTTTTTAAAAAAAATTATTTATTTATTTGAAAGTCAGAGTTACACACAGAGAGGAAGAGAAGCAGAGGTAGAGAGAGAGAGAGAGAGAGGGATCTTCCATCTGCTGGTTCACTCCCCAATTGGCTGTAATGACCAGAGCTGCGCCGATCCGAAGCCAGGAGCCAGGAACTTCCTCCTAGTCTCCCACGCGGGTGCAAGGGCCCAAGGACTTAGGCCATCTTCTACTGCTTTCCCAGGCCATAGCAGAGAGCTGGATCGGAAGCGGAGCAGCCAGGTACTTGAACCGGTGCCCATATGGGGTGGGCAGCGGCTTTACGGGCTCCGCCACAGCTCCAGACCCAGTCTCTGTATTTTTTAAAAGACTCATTTGTTTATTCAAAAAGCAATGTCAGAGAGAGAGAGAGGGAGAGAGAGATCTTCCATCTACTGTTTTACTCCCCAAATGGCCAGAGCTGGGCCAGGTCCAAGCCAGGAGCCTGGAATTCTATCTGGGTCTTCCATAGGGGTGGCAGGGGCCCAAGTACCCGGGTCATCATCTGCTGGTTTCTGAGGCACATTAGAAAGAAGTTGGTTTGGAACTGGAACAGCCGGAACTTGAACCAGCACTCTTATGGGACGCTGGTGACCCAGGCTGTGACTTACCCTGCTCTGCCAAAATGCTATCTTCCTGCTGCTTAGTATTTCTGTCTCGGTGGGAGACAGGAACCTAGGATGGAAGTTAATACATTCCTTGCCCATGTCAACATGAGGAGAATGGACTTGGAGAAAGCTGGCTGTTCACTCAGCCTTGGCAGATCATGGCCAGGTAGGAAGGGGGCCCAGGGTGTTAGCTCTTGCCAATCTTTTCTTAAGAAGTTGTAGGTATGACTTTTTAAAGTAGGAAAAATCTTAATTTGAATATGTTGACATAAAATTTGGAACTTTTATTAAAAACAAGCTATGGAGTTTGGCATTGTGTTGCCATGGGTTAGGCCACAGCCTGTGACACCAGCCTCCCATATTGGAGCACTGGTTCCAGTTCTGCTGCTCTGCTTCGGATCCAGTTCCCTGCTGGTGCACCTGGAGAGCAGTGGAAGATGGCTTAAGTACTTGGGTTCCTGCCACCCACGTGGGAGACCCAAATGGCGTTCCTGGCTCTTGGCTTTGGCCTGGCCCAGCATCAGCCATCGCAGCCATCTGGGGAGTGAACCACTAGATGGAAGATCTCTTTTTTTTCTCTCTCCTCTCAGTTTGTCACACTGCCTTTCAAATTAAAAAAAAAAAAAAAAAAAGAAAGTGTGTAAGGCAATCAAAACATTTTATGGGATTTTAATGCTCTTGTTCAGTTGCTTTGTTAGGTGAGAGAATGGAATTGGACAGCATAGGAAAACCAAAACGTTTGTTCTGCTCAGGTGGAATGAAATTGTGGTGAAAGGAAACCCAAATGATTTAGTGATGACTGCAACAAAAAGACAGGAAGTCCCAGGTTTTGCATTTGTGTTATCTTGTCAATCTATTAACTCAAGACTAAACCTGTGGGAGTTGCAAAATTATAAGGGTAGAACCTGCTAGCAAAGCTCCACACAATGCTTGCAAGCATTAGCTGACAGGTTTCAAAACAGTTTGAATATCAGTCATCACAGTAAAGCTTGCCAAAAAGGGTAGTCTGTTAGGAGAACATCTGCAGCCCACAGAGACACCCTCTGCAAGGGAAACACACGGCGGAAACAAGAAGCTGAAGCGGCAGAGTTCTCCGTGCAGTGGCTGGTGAACTTTCTCTGCGGTGAACCTGTTTTCTGGGCGGTCGCTAGCTCCCAGTCGTCTTACGTGTTTGACCTTTAGCTCTCGGTGACAAAACAAATCATTTTCAGGCTGTATTTGGACTCTGCCTGCTTAATGAGTCACTCACATTTTGTAAATTGAATACTCGTTCTGTCAAAATGGGGATACTAGATGATTAAAATGCCTATGTTACAATGACACAGTGAAATGATGAAAAGCCTCACTTAACCCCAAGATACAGCCAATTGCATTGTGTAGGAGCCACTGTGAAAGGGAGGTCATAACATTTTCTTAAAATCCTGCCATCTTAAAATCTTACAAGCCCCTGGTGGTGGTGTTTTGGACTAACTGTGGCTCCAAAAACACAGACAGACCCAGCCTGCCAAGTGGAGATGATCTGAGGAACCACCACCACTGGGCTCCTGGATTGCATTCTGGAACCTTCCATGCTGGTGGCCCCACCTTCCATCAGTGAGTGACATGGTTTTGCTACAGGACAGAGGAGGCTGTGCCCTGCCACGGATCCCACAGCTGCTGGACGCCAGGGTCAGAAGCTCTCTGGAGACAAGTCCAGGTTTGCGGCATTGCTGAGGACGGAGGAATTTCTTCCTTCCTTTTGTTTTTTGACTCAACATATTCCAATGGCACAGTTGGAAACCAAGGATAGAATTTTCTTTTTGTCCTTGACTTTCTTTTGTTGTTAAAAATAGTTGATCCAGATTTTAAATGCTACTCTATGACTACCAATTATATAAAACCAAGTACAGAGTTACATATGAAATTCCTTTTTCTGATTTTGAAAGGAAAAAAATCCTGTGAAATCACTTTAGATTCAAGCAGCGCATCCCATCTCCACACACGGACAGGCTTTGGTTGGAGAGGGAACACCTTGCATGTATACAGGGCTATGAGTCTGGAACTGGCTTTTTAAAATTTATATTCATTATTTTTATAAAATATTTATTTATTTATTTGAAAGGCAGGGTTGTAGGGGGTGGTTGAGGAATCTTCCATCCTCTGGGTCACTACCCATATTGCCTGGGCTGGTAGTGAAGCCAGGAATCAGGAGCTTCATCCAGATCTCCCATATGAGTAGCAGCAACCCAAGTACCCGGGCCATCTTCCATTTCTTTCCAAGGCACCCGAGCAGGAAGCTGGATCAAAAGTGGAGGAGTGTGGACTTGAATGGGTGCCATGTGGGTTGTCATTGTTTCAGGTGGCAGCTTTACCTGATGGGCCACAATGCTGGCCCCTAGAATTGGCTATTTGAACTTAAATGTTACTGCTGTAGGGTGCTGTTTGTTATTATTAATCTACAATTCACCAGGACTTGTTGGAAACCATTGGACCATGACTCAAGATTTCAGAATCGTGGCTTGCAGATTTGTCCAATCTGAAGGAATTTTCACAGAATGAATCTTTTAAACAGAGTCAGCGTTGCCAGTGAAACTGCACTGTGGAGTTTGAAAAGAGACGGGGCTGCTTTAAGAGAGAAACAGGAAGTTGTAACTAGAAGCCGTCTGAATGCTAAGGCAGGGCAGAATGCTTGTGAAGTAGCAACTAAAGTGGCAGTGTTTATTCTGAGACCCTCAGGCAGCCAGGCTGTCTTGGCAAATCTTGATAAAACAGCCCTTATCCAGCTTTCTGTCTAAGGAATTCCCAGAAGACTGGAGCATGGAGAGGCAGCGAAGGTTCGCCTCCGAGAAGGATGAGTATCAGTTTCAACATCAGGGAGCGGTGGAGCTGCTTGTCTTTAATTTTTTGCTCATCCTTACCATTCTGACAATCTGGTTATTTAAAAATCATCGGTTCCGCTTCTTGCATGAAACGGGAGGAGCGATGGTGTATGGTAAGTGCATAAATGGTGGGATTGATGTGAAACTTGTTGCTTGGGCGTAATTAGAGACTTGTACTCAGATGGCAAAGTACCGAAACTGGAGAAAACGTGCTGATTGAAATGTCATTAGCTTGTTGAAAGGTGCTGCAGCATAATGAACGCAATTCCCTTTCCAGATGAGTTGCGGGAATTTGCTTTGTCACGAGAGAGCAAATGTCATAGTCATGTTCTCAGGCGGCACAGAATGCAGGTCTGTTGACAGCTGTGGGTCCATTGTCATGTGGGAGTGGAGCCGGGTGAGCTGTTTGTTTTCATAGCACTGTTGGGAAGTGATGGCTCTGCAGGCACAAAGAGCAGCCTTCTTTCTTGCAGGCGGCACTGAGGAGCACTGTAAAGTTCTGCAAATGGTATCGCTGCAAATGCAGGGAGGAAATCCTCTTTTACCAGAATTTGCCGAAGAAAACTTGCAAAAAAAAAAAAAAATACAGACTCCACCCCTCCTAAGGGAGGAATCACATCTAAATCTTTTTTGATTATATATAATGTTTTATCTTCTAATAATAAAAAGTCATAAATAAACAAGAATTTTTTCTATGTTAGCACTTTTTATTTCTTAGCCTAATTTTAGATGTTCTCATTTACAGTTGCGAAGAGTGTTATTTGCTGTATAGTTATTATTTTAATTTTTTTGGAAGCCAAGCTATGGAAAAGCATTTGTGGAACATGGTAAACTCCCAAAGCATTGCTCTTGCCTTGTAATTTACCATGTCATCACATTACCACGTCATCATCCAGAAAGTTTAGTAAAGTACAACAGAGATTATGTGGTCTGTTCTCTCATATTTTGAAGTAAAATGCAAGACACCAATAGTTTTGAAAGTGGTGTTATTGATGAAATTCTTGGCATCACCACTCTCTGTCAGCCTGATAATGGATAGGAACCTTGCACTCAAGGGAAACAGATGAGATGTTGCCATAAACCAAAGCAAAGAACATATTTATTATTTGTGGGTGTCCGTCATTTTGGAAATCCTGAAGTCCCTTTAAATGCTTCACACGTGGAAAACAAGATCAATGCACATTTTGTATGGCCAGCTTGTGATGTCCTGCTGTTATCAATGGATAGCCATGATTTGAGAGCATAAGGAGTCCTGTGCCTTCACTGGATCCCCCTGTAAGATACATGAGCTGTAAGGCAGAAGGTTCAGGCCAAGCAGTG